TCTAATGCTGCTGACGGGAATGTACTGGGTGTTGTTTTTGTTTGTTTTGTTTTTGTCTTTTTGAGACAGGTTCCCGCTATGCAGTTCAGGCTGGCCTTGAGCTCACTTTGTAGCCCAGGCTGGTCTCAAACTTGCAACGATCCTCCTGCCTCAGCCTTCTGAGTGGGTGGTTATTTTTAAGTCTGTATTACTAACATGTACCAATAAAAAATGATTAAACTGGGGCTGGAGATTTAGCTCAGTGGTACAGCGCCTGCCTGGCAAGTGCAAGGTCGTGAGTTTGATTCCTGGTATCGGAAAACAACAACAACAACAACAACAACAAAGATTAAACTATGCTCCTAAAAGCTGAAAAGTTAGCAATTTTTTGCAGGTTGCAGACGCACACAACCTAATTCTTACAAGAAGTATCACTGCAAAGCTTATGCATTTCTTCTTTTTTTCAACATTCTACCTTTTTAAAGGCCATTATATAGTATAGACAAAAAGATCAGCAGGGGCAGTAATGATCTATAATAATGGCTAATATTTATTGAATGTTTATACATTATAGGCGTTGTTCTTTTTTTTTTTTTCCCCCTCCTGGTACTGGGAATTGAACTCAGAACCTTGAGCTTGCCAGGCAGGGAGGGTGCTGTGCTGCTTGAGCTAAATCCCCAGCCCCTTATTATATGCATTGTTTGACAGTTAAAATGTATTAATTTGGACACTGAGGCAGTAGGATCATAAGATTAAATCCAGCCTGGGCAATTTAGACCCTGTCTCAAGATAAAAAAGGGTGGCCAGGCATGATGGTGCATGCCTATAATCCCAGCACTCGAGAGGCTGAGGCAGGAGGATCACTGCAAGTTTGAGGCCAGCTTGGGCTCAATAGTGAGTTCAAGGACAGCCTGACTTACAGAGAGATCCTGTCTTTAAATAAATAAATAAAATTTTAAAAGGAGGGAGGATGTAGCCCAGGGCAAAGACTCTGGGTTCAACCCCCTATTTAAAAAAAAAAAAATTACAGCTGGACATAGCTCAGGGGTACAGTGCTTGCCCAGCCTCTGCTTGGCTCCAGGGTTGATGCTGTGTCACGCACTCAAACAAAAGTATCCAGCTGATCTTCGTCGGAGCTCTGTGAGGCGGACGGCACTAGCTCGGTGCACACAGGTTAAGGCTTCTCTGCTAGGTCACACACAAAGGATGGAACAGGACTCCAAGTGGGGCTGCAGTCCTTCTGCCCAGCACCCACCCAGGACATTGCTTGCCTACAGCCAAGTGAGGACAGTAGGTTCTGTGCTAACCGCGAATGCAGGTTTATCAAACAGAGACAAAGGCAAGCAAGCAGCAGACTGGTGGTAAAGCTTACATCTGCTCTGAAGGGCTGTGAAAATGAAAATGGGGCCTGGGGTGGTGGTGCACACCTGTGATCCCAGCACTTGGGAGGCTGAGGCAGGAGGATCACCTTGAGTTTGAGACCAGCCTGGGCTCCATAGTAAATTCAAGGCCAGTCTGAACTTCACAGTGAGATCCTGCCTCAAAAAAAAAACCAAAGAAACAAAACAAAATGAAATCTGAGGGTTATGCAGAAAGGTCAGTTTTCTAAACGGATACCCCAAAATCAAGGAGTCAAAAAAATGTACCCTTACATTCATATCTGTAAGAGTCCAGTGAAATACATCTACAAAGATGGAAAACAAAAAATTAAAATGAGAGCTCATTTAGAAAATCTTAATGTAAAATCTGGAAATCGTGTTGATTAGAACAATACAACAGGCAAGGTGTTAAGGCTTCCAGCAACTGAAATAAATTCACAGCCATGAACTGTCTTGAATTCCCAATCTCCTGCCCTCGCTTCCAGAGTGCTGGCATTACCGGCACACACATACCACCAGGCCTTGCTTATAAATCTTTCACTGAGAATGGTTAGGCGTGTTCTCACTGTAACTGGAAACACTTTGTTCTGAAAGGAACTCCCTGAAGTGACTAAAATGGAAAAAATAACAGTAGCACTTACCACGTGCTAGATACAATTCTCAGAGTATATTCCCTTATTCCTCAGTCCTCAAAATCATCCCATGAGGAAGGAATTGTTTACACTGCACAGGAGCCTGAGGTATGGAGCAGGGACGCAACCCACCAAATACACAGCAGGGTACTGAGTTTCAGCTCTCAATCAGTAAGCATCAAATCGCAAAGAAAATCCTTTCCTGGCAGTCATATTGTTGGGCAAAAGCTAACCATGGCACAAACAGAATACAAGCATGGTAAAAGGGGAACTTGTGTGCAGACAGCTTTGTGTATTTTGCTATGTTGTTTAAATAAGATACGTTAAAATTTAAGATGTTATACTTTAATTCCAGTTTTCCTCATATCCAAATCTCTAGTATGTTTTAATATCAAATAGTCACTAAATTTTAAAAGAACATTTTTTTCTGACTGTAAAGCTTTCTACACTAGCTTCAATGAAATAACAATTTTGAGCTTATGCTAGGCCTAAGAGCCTTTGCCAAGTGAATCTTACAGCCTCATTGTGTAACAGGTTCTATCTCCAATTCAAGAGTTGGTCACCCTCTAGAATACACACAGACCGGCAAGGGTTGGCTCTACACTTTTTTTAGGATACCAGTCACTCAAAGTTGAATGCCCAGGGAGAGAAGCCATGCTTAATGTGTGAGGGCCTGGGTTCAACCCCCAGCACTAGAAAACCAAACAAGAGATAAAAAAAGGATGCTCTAATACCTTGCAAATAGAGGTAATTTCATGCTTGTTGCGGTATGCCTAGCAGTTATCTCAGTTTCTCAGGAGACTGAGGCAGGACTGCAAATTCAAAGCCAGCTTGAGCATCCTAAACCCTGTCTCAAAACAAAAACCAAACAGCACTAGGCATGTAGCTCAGGGCTAATCCCCACAAGTTATTTCATGCATGTGCCATTTTGGGGTGCTTCTCGGAGACAGTAGCAGCAAAATGTTTGCAGTAAATATCTGAGCATTTAAAACCACCCCACCCCACCCACCAAGCCAGAGTGCCCTTGCAGATGTTTTGGAAATGTGAGGGCTTTATGTGAGGTACAAATACGAGTGGTACTATTAGCACTTAGTGGGTGGAAGCCAGGAAATGTGTCTTGTGATGCAGGGGTCTGACATAATGAAACACAGACCATCTTCTTTAGAACCTAATTCTTTCCTATATATGTACTTTAAAGTTTTAAAACTAACTGAAATTTATAAATATGCAATTAGATAACCTTCATGGTTTTTTTTTTGGTACCAGGAATCGAACTCAGGACCTTGCACTTGCCAGGCAGACGCTTATGCCACTGAGCTATATCCCCACCCTGATAACCTTCAAAGTCATTTAATAGAAAAAAAAAACCAAAACATTGTTAAATGTTTTTTTTTTGTTGTTGTTGTTCTTCTGAGACAGGGTCTCACTGTGCAGTTCAGGATGGCCTTGAGCTCCCTTTGTAGCCCAGGCTGGTCTCGAACTTGCAACAATCCTCCTGCCTCAGCCTCCTGAGTGCTGGGATTACAGGCGTGTGCCACCACGCCTGGCGCTGTTCAATGTTTAATATTTGCTAGAACCCACAAATAAATGCCACAGCACGTCCTTCCAGATGTAAGAGTCTGTCCCAGACTTTCAGATGGCCATGCAGATGAGCTGGGAGCATCTCAGGGTGGGCTCAGCACTGCTCATGCTACTGATGCAGAATATAAACAGGGCTTTGTTAGGTAGCGGGCCTGGTTCTGCCCTGCAGAAAATCAACTTACTGCAACCTTCCTCCCTGTCTCATTTACACCCTGTCACACCCAGCCAAGTAACCCAGCGCTCAGACTGCTTCCCACTTCACTGCAAAGCCAAGTATCTAGCTCATTTTGTCAAACAGAAAGCTATTAAAAGTTTATTGCACAATAATAAACACATTCAAACAATCGGACATATTTGTGTATTTCAACTTTTTTAGTAGGTAGAAAATTTTGAAAAACAAATTTTCCTGATACTGAATGACGCCCATATGAAAAAAATGCAGAACATAATTTTTATTCAAATTACTACTTTTTTTTGAGACAGGGTCTCACTATGCAGTTCAGATTGGCCTTGAGCTCACTTTGTAGTCCAGGCTGGTCTCGAATTTGTAAAGATCCTCCTGCCTCTGCCTCTCAAGTGCTGGGATTACAGATGTGCACCACCACGCCAGGCTATATTCAAATTATTACATTTTTAAATGCATTGACAACTCTGATTTTACAAGATTCAGAATGGCAAACTTTGAATCTGCAGATGTGAAGATTTTAGTTTCTGCCTTTTAAATGTCTATCAGTAGCCTCTATTACAAAAGAATTTAAAATGATCTCATGGTCCATAATTTATAAGGAAATGACCTCCTCTGAATATGAACACATTTGACAGAATTATTTTCTTTCACTTTGCATATTCCCAGATAATAAACCGTGTTTTACTGCCAAATAAAGGAGTATAAAACTTCCCTTTTCAAATTACCTGGAAGTATTTACTTGATAAATTATTAAGTTTCAAGTGGTACATATAAATATAATTGAAAGAGTAAGCCATTTATGAAAGCACTGCATGATAAAATGTTTGATCCAATATTACATGTAAACATTTCCCCCTTAATATTATGCCTAAAATATGCAATATGATCTTTCCAGAACTAGAAAATACCTGTCCTTTAATACTCAAGATTTAACAGTGAGATGAATTTACTTTAAGCCTCCTTTTTTTTTTTGGTACTGGGAATCGAACTCAGGTCCTTGTGCTTGCCAGGCAGGTACTTATGCCGCTGAGCTACATCCCCCGCAAGTCTACATTTTCTTGATGAGACAAAGAGAAGAGAGTACCTCTAAAAACAATCAAAATCCCGTATGCCTGATAGTTAAATTTTATTTACCCTGTTCATTGGTCCAAAGTTAAAATTCTCATATATCAAATAAAGATATCAAGGAATCTCCCCTCTTCCCACCAAAAATAAATATTAACAACAGACTGAGGATAAGAATTGAATTTTAAACTGCACTTTATTTATTACTATAACACGGTCTCTTTTTATCTCATGAACCGTAAGCATGCAAAACGTTCTCCTGTGAATGGAACTTGTTCTACAGCCCTTTGTATCGTGACAGGTAGATTATACGGGTCATTTGATTTGGACTTTTCTCCTTTTTACAGCACTTCTAAGCAGTGTATGTGACACACACCACAGAGGTAGGAAAGACTATCTTTAATAAATTATCTTCTTAATCGTCGAGAATTCCTGAAAATTAGGCCGACAAAATGCTAAATCATGCCTCGGACTGTCCCAACGGACCAAGACCCACCGCCTTCTTGCCGCAGGGCCTGCGCCTTCGTTGGCCACGTGACAGCAACGTCCACCAGGGCTGTGAACAGCACTAAGCAAGCTCCCGCCACTCATTTGCCAATCCTCTGGACCACCCAGTCCTGCTGGCAGAGAGGGCAGCGGTTGTTCTGCTTCACCCACAGGGACATGCAGCAGTTGTGGAAGGAGTGATTGCATTCTCCCCAGACCACTGGAAGAAAAGTTGACATGAGATTTCAATTGAAATCACCAAGCTCAAACTTAAAACTTATTTTATACTACGAATAAGAGTGACAGGTCATCAAGTTGAACAAGGATGAATCTTTTGTCAAAATATTTTTTCTATCTACAAAAATATATAAACTTACATGTGAAAGTTATACTTCAGAGATAAGTCACTTTTGGAGGACTTTCCATCTGTTTGGGCATCTGTGGGTGATCCAGTGACCCCTAGTTCCTAAATAACTCCACATGCTGTCTTCTTGAAGTTAGGAGATTAAAGCACTTCAATCTTCTCAGATCCCAGACCTTCTCAGCCACGCACACTGGCCTAAGTGATCTTTTGATCTTCCCTTTATGGAAAAATGTCCTCTTCTTTTTTATTTACCAGGACATAATGAGTTTTAAATGTTTTCAATTCATACTTGGTGATTATAAAGGGACAACATGCTTCTAAACATCAGTTGTACATCTAGTTAGCCATTTCCTAGAAGTGATGAATTCTGTTAAATCATCCACAAGCAGTACAATTCCTCAAGTGACAAACAATGAAATTTTTGGCTGGGGAGAGATGTGTCCTTCTGTGATCAAAGAAAGTGACCCTGTCTTCATAATTCCCAATTAATATTCTTTTTTTTTTTTTTGAGACAGGGTCTCACTTTGTACTTCAGGCTAGCCTTGAACTCACATCGATCCTCTGCCTCAGCCTGGAGTGCTAGGATTATAGGCATGTGCCACCACACCTGGCTCCAATGAATACTTTTAAAGGGAGAAACATGAAAGAAAAACTTTAAAGCAAAGAAAATCATCCACAATATGGAATAATACAGTTTCAAACTGGACTTCATTTGTCCCTTGCCTGACCCACTGAGTGATATGACAAGAGAGTAAGACTAACTGAAAAAAAAAAAAAAGGGAACATACTACTCACAAAAAATCTACAGGCACTGTAAAAAGCAATCTAAAAATGATCACCCTCAAGAACAGGACACAAAAACCTTTGAACTATTTAAAGTAACTAGCCTAAGACACAGGATTATAAAGTATTTAAAATATTTCAACACACAAACTACATTCTTTTAAAAAATGCCTGAGACTTAGAATTTTTCTTCAGTGACTGTATCATAGGAGTACTGAAAAACACAGTGCTTTATTAAAAATTTAAGCAATATTTTGACAAATCACTTATTTTACAATTTTCGTTTTTTTTTATAGTTTTCTTAATAGATGGTAATTATTTCTTTTTGATTGCTAAAATCTTTACTGTGGCCATATCTGGGATAGTTAACCAATTCTTATAGCAATGAAAGGGCTTGCAGATTCCTTCCACTGAGGCCTTTTGAGAACCAACACATTTTATATTAATAATGGATCACTGCTTTACAGTTTATTTTTGTGTATTGATAAAGTCAATCTTAACTGCAAATTCAAACATTCCCACTGAGAGAAAAAACTTTCAGTTGAAAAAGCCAGAGAAAGAAATTACAACATACCAACACAATCCTCTTGTTTGTTTTCAGCTTGACATCTAAGACAGGCATCTGAAAGTAAACAAATAACAATTCTCATTCTGATGCTCGATGCAATTTAAAAACCCAAACACTTCAAAGTCAAATAAAAACCCTGAGGGTTAGAGACAAAGATAAAAGAATCATACCGGTTCCTATGGTTTGCGTTTAGATGTCCCCCTAAAGCCACATGAAGTCATAGGTGGGGCTTTTTCAGAGGTGGTTGGATCTTCATGGTGCAGTGCTAGTATAAGGGGCACTAGGATTAAGGGTGTGAGTGCTACCCACCCTAGTGGCCTGGATAAACTGGAAGAACTACAAAGAGCCATGGTTGGCCCTTGCTTTTTGCTATCTTTGGCCTGCCAAGAACTGTTTCTCCTCTGTAATGCCTATCAGTCACACCACCCTGCCTTGGAGCCAGGCGATAATGGACTGAAACTTCTACAAACTGTGAGTCAAATAAATCTTTCCTTCTTTAACTTTTGCTGCAGGGTATTTTGTCCAGCAATGAGAAAAGGAACTAAGACACTATTAATTTCTCATCTGAAAATAACTAAAGGGGAATAAATAAAGTACAAGGCATTTTTATTAATTTACTTCTGGCCAGCAACAATTTCACAAGGGGTAATGACTATTTTTACACGCTCTATCGAAACGTTGCCTAGAATGGCACCACTAGAAAAGAACCACTAGAGAGGAAATGCGGCATGTTCCACCATCTTATGAGTTACTAGACGTGCACTAGGCACCCTCACTCATATGCATCAATTTTAGAGGTAGTTTATTTTCAAGACACCACCGTAAATAATCCATGCCTCGATGTTGGTATTTGCTTACATATAAAGAATATACTCAAGGATACTCAAAAAACAATGGAAAGGAGTTTTCACCATATAGCTTCTTAAATTTTTAACTATGAGACTGTATAATCTTTATAAAAAATTAAATTAAAAATTATCTTTCATAAGCAAATTTTCTTGCGTCATGCATACTTATTGGCAAAGAAATTTTCCTTGAGCCATTCATAAAAGTGACTTCTTACTTTGTTCCCTAAGATACTTGTGAATACCTTTAAAATAAATTACGTTGCATGTTCCCAACAGGTCACTGCTGAGGTCACCCAAAAGAAGACTGGTGAGATGCAGAGGAAAAACAAGGGCCAGGGACAGCAAGGGCCGGGGAGCCCCGCGGACCTACAGTAAAACCCCCTCACCAGCATTTCTTAGTTTTGTTGGTCTGGACCAATTATAGACCTCTATGAACCTCTTCTCCCTCACTGTAAAGAAGGGTCAGTCCATGTACTATCTGCATATTAAGTAAGGGTGATACCTACCTGAGAGCCTTAAAGACAAAATAAGCAAACACTCAGTATGCGAAATACTAGGGGTTTTTTTGCTTTTAAGACAATATTCCACTTACAGATAAATCTGAGCTCAAAGCATCTACTCAACAGTGGAGAAGTATTTTAAAAAATTACTTGGGAGTAAATACTAGGGATGAGAACCTACATGTTGTGTCACAAGTTTTCAAAATTCATTCTGTAGTACTTTTTGCTTCATGAGGGAGGTAATATCAGAATATTTTAGGAACCAATGAAATGGACTCATTCACTAGTTTGGAAGGGGAATCAAAAGTTGGACGAAAGGAAGTTCCAATCAACAGAAAAAAGTTTTTAGCATAAATGGAGAAAAATAATTCTGTAAAAATAGAAACAGCAGAGCTGAAGCTCGCTTCTCTTCTTACACTGGGTTATGCTCAGGCATTTGCTCCTCTCCACATGCGCTTACCCTTGAAAAAACACCACCACCCTGGCCCCTCCAGTGTGGACGAAAAACAAGCATGCCTCCTGAGGCGCTCTTCAGTTCCGTAATTACCAAGAGCATCTACTCTGGGCAAGGATTTATGCTCTGGCAACACCAAAAGGACCAAGGCTGCATTTCAAGGCGTTCACTAGCAAAGGGGGAGCTGACAAGCCAACCATGAAGTATCGTGAGGATCACGATTTATCAGTGAAGACAGTATCTGTACCTGGCTCTAGTTCTGTGCAGTCACCAAATGTTAAGAATATTTGGACTGGTGATCCTAACTGCTTCTTTTACAAATTAGAGACAACTTCAAAAGGTTATGTGAAATGCCCACGCTAACATGCAATCGTGAAACCTTACTCTGGCTTCCATAACCTGGCCGCACTACCAAACCTTTCCCCTTCCTAGGCCGTCTGCTCCTTTCCTGATAAAGGGAGGATGATGGGATCAAGGGAGTGTTACTTGCACCAGACTGATGTGACAGAAGGTTCTTGGTGTGCTAAGTATAATGAACCCTTTAGGTGAGATAGATTCCAAATATTAAGGAAACGGGACAAAGTGGATTCTTGCTGTAGTATCCAGAAATCTGAATTATGCCTATAGCTTAGATCATCAAAAATTAACCCATCTCTACACAAATTCCTAAAGTTTCAGATGAAAGAAAAATGCTTTTAGTGAAGTTTCTAGTACCTAAAAGAGTACAATTCTAAGGAATACAACAGTAACACCTCATAGAATGATGCTAGGATAAGGACTAGGAGTCTGAAAAACAAATTTCCTTTGGTTGTCACCTAACCACTGAGTGACCACCTACACCTCATAAACAAAACACAAAGGTCTACTCCAGAATATTTCCCTGAAACCAAAGTATGGGTGCTATAAATATTGAAGATTAATCTTGCAGTAGCAGAATACTGGCTATAATTAGCAAGTTAATGATGAATCTGAGTCATTTACAGCCCATACTTTCACTGAAATATCCCAGTGACATTTGTTGCTAAATTTCAAACATTATTTTAGGTTCTCCAATTCTACTTACTATTGAAAAGTTTCTTCCTTTGGAGAAAATAGCTTCTTAAAGAGAAATCTTTTTTAAATGGCCTTTTGGGGACATTTTCATTATTAGTAATACCTGTTTGTGGCACAGAAGGAATACAAATGTACATCCTGAGGGTTTGTACATTTACATAGCAAAAATTCTTTTGAGATAAGGTCTTGCTGTTCAGGCTGAACTCAAGATACAGGCCAGGCAAACCTCAAACACAGCGACTGCCCTGCTTCAGCCTCCAACTGCTGGGACTACAGGCGTGCACCACCAGCCTAACCTGACTTACATTCAACATCCTAAACCTTTTAGCTTTCCCTTTCCTTCCCAGCCCTCCCTTTTTAAACTCGAAAAGTTTTGTTTCCTTTAAAGAAAATTTGTAGCTGAGTGTGCTAGTGTATGGGTGTTATCTCTGTGTTCTGAGAGGAGGAGACAGGAGGACCCCAAATTCCAGCTCAGCCTGAGAAACTTAGCAAAGCCCTGTGTCAAAAAAAAAGGCTATGGAAGTAGTTCAGTGCTAAGGTCCTGGGTTGAATTCCCAGTAAAGGTAGGGGGTTAAAAAAGTTTTGCAAAGCTTGTACCATAAAAACAAGATTAAGGGGGCTGGGGATTTAGCTCAGCGGCAAAGCGCCTGCCTGGCAAGCGCAAGGTCGTGGGTTCGGTTCCCGGTACCGGAGAAAAACCAAAACCAAAACAAAACAAAAAAACAAGATTAAGACTACTGGCTAGTTAAAAATGCCTCCCAAACTGGGAATTACTACTCTTGTTCTTAAGAGGAGGGAGTGGGATGACTGAAATACAAGCAGATACTTTTAAAAACCTTATATGCAAAATATACAGGCCATGTCCCCAAAGTCTTTTAAAAATATTTGAATCCCACTGTTGTAAAACATTGAAACATGTCTTTATGAAAGAAAAAGAGTAAGCTGAAGCATCTCTTGATTCTGGCAGTTTTAAAAGTCTCATTCTCCAAAAAACGTGCACAATTCAATTTATTTTCTCCAATTCTCTCATTTTTCAGGGCAACTCAGTTTTCTTCAACACCTTCAAGAAACCCCACCACTGAAGATGCTCTCACAATACCCTCATTATTTATTTATTTATGTATGTATGTATGTATGTATGTATGTATGTCTTTTTGAGACAGGGTCCCGCTATGCAGTTCAGGCTGGCCTTGAGCTCA